ACACACACACACACACACACACACACACACACACACACACACACACACACACACACACACACACACACACACACACACACATACACGCCAACCTTTGAACTGCAGGGGAGACGACTTGTCGTGAACGTTCTCGTGCTCCAACCGCCTGACACAACCACAATCAATCAATCAATCAATCAATCAATCATAAACACACACATACACATACACACGCGCACACACACACGCACAAGTACATACACACGCACAAGTACACATACACGCACACACACACAAGTACACCACCACACCACACATAACGCATAACGCACCATCCTTCCTGGCAGAAGTCGAGCTCGTTGAGGTTTGGGAAGAACGCTGCATCGAGGTACACGTGCATGAGGTTGGCAAAATCCTGAGCGTTGGTGGTGGAGAACGGATACATGGTGTAGTCGGGGCCCGTCAGCGCGTTCATAAAGTTGGACAGTGACCTGGGCAGCGGTTGGGAAGTCGGAAAAAGAGGCGAATGAGAAGAGAGTGTGTAGACATGTGTGGTTGTATGGGTTAGGATGTAGTTCGTTTGTGAAGTGTGCTTTGCAATGTGTGCATGCTCAATCAGCTAAGAAAGCAATCAGAACCGGCAGCTTCAACGCACACACACACACACATACACACCTGTTGAGCATCTTGAAGAATGGATCGCGGGTGGGGTACTTCTTGCTTCCGCAGAGGACGGTGTGTTCGAGGATGTGGGGCGCGCCCGTGTCGTCTGTGGGGAGGGTGGCAAAGGCGACAGCAAATGCGTTGTTGTTGTCTGGGCGGGCAAAGTGCAGCACCTCCGCCTTTGTGGGCTCGTGCATGAGGTGGACGGCACACATGTTGTACTCGTCCACTGGCCGCACGCCCTTGACCGCAAACCGGCCCACGCGCTGCGTGGACCGGAACTGGTCCAGCACTGCACACATGGGTGAGTGTGAGCGCGAGCGCGTGATAGATTGGGCAGGGGGGGGGGGTGATGGATGGAGATGGTGGTGCAGTGCAGTGGTTGTGGTTGTGTGTGCATGGTGCAGTGTGCGTGTGTGCGTGGGTGGTGCAGTGCATACAACACACACACACACTCTCTCTCTCATTCACACACACATATATTCACACACACACACACACACTCACACACACACACACTCACACACACACACACACACACACACACTCACTCACTCACTCACTCACTCACTCACTCACTCACTCACTCACTCACTCAAACACAGACCAACCTTTGCGCACAAGCTCCGGCCTCCTCGCTGCTGCCATCTCTTCTCTCTCTGCTGTGTGTCAGCGAATTGTGACGTGCTAAAGTCAATTTTGCTTTTGATCGATCCAGAGGTCAAAATTGCCTTTCACACTTATTCCACATCCAGCAAACACGCACACGCACACACGCTTTGTTGCCTCCTTCAACACACACACAGCCACCCACATCGCAAGCCATGTCTGTTCGCCTGCGTGAGGACATCTACGGTGGCCCACAGGATGACCTGTTGCGGTTTTGGCTCTCGGTTGACATCCCTCGCCAGCTGGTACAAGGACGCTGCTTGCTTCTTGCGTGCATTGGTGGTTGTTGTGTTTCGTGGCTGCGCCATTCGTACTGCTGCGCCATTCTCGTGTGCATTTTGCACGGCTTGCAGTGCCCTGTGTACACACGCATCGTACTTCCTGACTCACTCACTCGTTCCTTGATTTCCCTATGACCCTACAGGCAGAGAAGAGCCTGACCACCCCACACCTGGCTCCAACAGGTCTGTCCGCAGCACTGCCATTTGCGCCAACATGTTGTGCTCGATCTTGCACACACACACGCACACACGCTGATTCTGGTTATTCTGCCCTGGTGTTGCTGCTGCTTGTTTCAACAGGGTCATTCATCCTGCGCCGATCGAAGAGCTCTCCCGGCAACTATGCCGTCACCGTTGTGCAGGGGAAGACGATCAAGTCTTACGAGATTATGGACCTTGGCATGGGCCAGATTGGGCTCGGCACAGGCCAGGCCTTTGAGAGCCTGGAGACCATGCTTGACTTCTTCTACACGCATCCGTTCCCAGACGAAGGCAATGGCCACGTCGCCCTCACCCGCATGTAAGCGTTCTGTGTGTGTGTGTGTGTGTGTGTGTGTGTGTGTGTGTTAATGTTTTCGTGTGTGTGTATCTGTCTGTCTTCGTACACTTGTGTGTGTATCAGTCTGTCTTTGTGCACTTGTGTGTATATCTGTCTGTCTTTGTGCACGTGTGTGTATGTGTGTGTATCTCGTTCGCCTCTTTCTCATCCCTCCCCCCCCCCCACCACACCATGCCAATGCCAGGCATCCCCACATCCACGGCGTGCGCATGCCGCGGCTGATGGCCCCACCGGCTCACGAGGTTCCTGTCGCCGACAGCATGTACGAGACCATCGAGTCTGCCGAGGTAAGCAGCTGCAGCAGCTGCTGTGTCACTTGGGTGAGGAGGGTGCTCGTGTTGGTGGTGCGTACGGTGGCATACACAGCCCGCCTTGCATGCAGCAAGTACAACCGCGCGTTCCCCCTCACTCACAACACAACACGCACACACTCTTTCACGACACACTCACTCGCACAAATACACACATACTACACCAACCACCAACCACCAACCACCAGCGGCACATGGTGTCTCAGGGCGCACTGCCTGAACGCGTCGGCTCCAAGCCGCAGCAGCAGCATCAGCAGCGAGGGCCTGCCCGCGACCCAACATACGACGACATCGACGATGCCACATACGGGGACACGGGCGCCCCCGCTGTTGTGCAGCAGCAGCAGCGCATTGCGCCTGCGTCGACCTCGTCGCGCGTTGGCGGGTCCATCCTGCGTGTGCCCTCGCATCGCCGCCCGTCCACATCTGCAACTGCGCCGACAGCCGGGTACGAGGGGGAGCTGACCAAGCCCGCTGTTGGGTACGGTGACGTGGCCCAGCCGGACAACACATATGGGGATATGGCGGCGCCCATGGCAAACCTTTCCCTGTACGGCGACAGCGCATACGCCGATGCTGACGACGGCATGTATGGTGACACGGGCGCGGCCGAGAACTTGTATGGCGACGACAGCGCCGCACCACCGCCACCACGACCAGCAGTGCCCAAACCATACCAGGGCACCGGCACAAACAGCCGCATGGGCACTGCCACCACAGCAGCACCAGCCACGAGGACCACGGTCACGCAGGCGACGGAGAGCGTGTATGGCGATGCGTTTTACGGGGACGCGCCACAGGCCGTCGACTCACACATCTACGGAGACGACGACACGCCGAACCTGTACGGCGACGCAGACATGGGCACCACGCGGCCGGGCAACAGCGCAATGCCGCCACCAATCTCGTCGTCGTCAGCAGCAGGGCGCGACCGCAAGAACACGTCCGATGAGCTGTACGACATGCCCCGCAACAAGGCCAACAGTCGGGCAGGGCAGGTGACATACTCGCTTCCACAGGACATCCGCGCTGGCGAGTCGCAGCCCATGTACGGGGACACGGCCGCCGACGATGAGTACAACACAGAGGCGGGCCACGCTTCGCTCATGTCATTTGCCATGCCGTCCAACATCTACGGCGAGCCTGCAAGCAACGACGACGTGTACGGCGAACCGGCCCCCGCCCCTTACGGCACCCCTGCCTCTGAGCAGGACGTGTATGGCGACACGCCCCCCGCACCATACGACAAACCCCGCTCGACGGGCGTGAAGCGACAGCAGAAGGTCGCTGGCAGCATGGACCAGGGCGCCCGCTGGTGATCATGGGAGTGGTGGTGATGGTGAATTGGTGGTGGTGATGAGGTGGTGATCATGGGGGGATGCTTGGTGGTGGTGATGTTAAGGTGGTGGTGGTGGGGGGATGGGGATGGGTGGCTGTTTTCGGAAGTCGTAGGGTTTGCTGGTTATGTTGCTGTTTCAGTGTCGTCTGCTGTTGTTGTCGTTGTGCTGCTTGTTGTTGTTGTTGTTGTTGTTGTTGTTGTTGTTGTTGTTGTTGTTGTTGTCGTTGTTGTTGTTGTTGTTGTTGTTGTTGTTGTTGTTGTTGTTGGTGCTGCCTTCTCGTTCACGTTTGCCCCAAGGTGAGATTTGATACGCTTCCTTCCGTGTTGCGGTTGGCTTGTATCGGTGTTCATTACTTTGTGGGACAAGTGCTTGTGGAGTGAAGGCACATACGAACGAACTTGCACACGCACACGTACATGCACATGTACACATGTGTATGCCACCTCACACCACCATCATCAATCATCATCATCATCGTCACTCCTTGCCCAGATATTCCTCCCACTGCTTCAGGCGCTGCTCTTTCTCCTGCAAAACACACACACACACACACGTGCACATGTGACTTGGGTGATGGGCATGCGATGGTAATGAGAGAGGGGAATCGGTGCTGTTGTTGTTGTCGTCGTCGTTAGCAAGCTGTCTTCGCTTTAGAGTTGGTGTCTCGTTCTTGCTCTCGTTCTTGCTTCCCCTTCTTCAACACCACCATCTTCTTATTCTCGGTTATGACGCTTCGTTCACTGCTGCCTTCGTTGTGATGCTGCCTTTGCCTCGCTGCAGTGATCGACTGCTTGGTTGCTTGCTTGTTTTCGTCCCTTTGATCCCCATTGCTGGTGGTGCTCGCGGTTATCGCTCTTGTTGCTGTGGTCGGTTGGTTCTGTGTCTGCTCATCATGCTGCTCGCCTGCTTCTGCTGTAGTTGCTTCAGTCTCTCCCCCCAGTACATCCCATCCCGTTGAACCCACACTTTGCAAACCACCACCATCAAGCGACACACGCACACACGCACGCACACTCACACACACGTACACACACACACACACACACACACACACACACACACACACACACACACACCACACGGCACAAAGCCAACGCCGTACCTCCTCCGTCTCCTCGACCTTGAACTTCTCTCGCCCGTCCCAGGGCTCGGCCACAATCTGCTGCCCGCCAAACCACCGCCCGTTGAGCGTCGCAATCGCCGGCCCGAGCGCCGCCTCGTCCTGGTACCGCACCATCACCACGCCCTCGGGGTTGCGCTGCAGGCAGTCGCGGGGGAGGGTTGTTGTTGTTGTTGTTGTTGTTGTTGTTGTTGTTGTTGTTGTTGTTGTTGTTGTTGTTGTTGTTGTTGTTGTTGGTTGTTGTTGTTGTTGTTGTTGTTGTTGTTGTTGTTGTTGTTGTTGTTGTTGTTGTTGTTGTTGTTGTTGTTGTTGTTGTTGTTGTTGTTGTTGTTGTTGTTGTTGTTGTTGTTGTTGTTGTTGTTGTGTGTTGCATTGTGTGAGTCACCTTGGCGACACAATCGAGTACATTCGTGTGAGCACCTCAAAACGGCCACCTCACTCCTTCTCCCCTCTTGTCGCATTCACAAATCACGCACGTCAAAGATTTCCAGCTTCTTGATCGGCCCAAACTTCTTGCACTCCTTCTCAATGTCCCTGCACAAAGAGAAGAGGAAAGAGGGGAGACACATGTGAGCACTTGTACATGTATGTGTGTCTATGTGTGTGTGTCTATGTGTGTATACATGTGTGTATACATGTGTGTATATGTATGTAAACATATGTATATGTGTCGGCGCCACCTCTTGAGCTCGACGAGCAGCATTGGGTCCTCGGTGAACTCCGACGGATGGAACATGTGCCGCAGGATCAGCACCCTGATTGTGGTGGTGGTGGTGGTTTTGGTGGTGGTCGTGACAGTGTGATGGTGGTGGTGGTGACATGATGAGTGCCATAGTCACGACAAGAACAGTGAGCGAAGGAGCGAGGGAGAACTCAGCATCACATAGCGACGTACACATGCAATCAGAAGCGTTACGCACGCACCCCACTGCCTTTTTCCGCTTGAGATCCGTGTCATGCCAGCCAAGCAGCCTGTCAATGAGGAAGGACAAGTGAAAGGAATGCGTGGTCGTGAGAAAAACTGTATCTTCACACACACACACACACACACAAACACACATACACACACACACACACACACCGCGCGCGGTGCAAAGCACTATCAGGAGCGCTGTGCTTACTTGTGGGAGAGGGTCTTCTTGTTGACTTTCGCCTTCTTCCCGCCACCTTTGCTATCGCTTCCGTCTTTCTCCTTCTGCATCTTCTTCTTCCGCTCAATGTCTCGCTTCCGGAACTTGGCCTAGGGAGTGACAACAGCCAGTGATTGTGTAAGCGTGTGAGTGAGTGTGTGTGATTGAGGGTGTGTGTGTGTGAACTGTACTGAACATCGACAAGAGCAGCAAACACACACGCACACACACACACACACACACACACACACACACACACACACACACACACACACACACACGCACACACACACGCACACACGCACACACACACACACGCACGCACACACGAAGCAATCATTGTCACTCCCTCCCTCCTCCTACTTCCTCCCCTCCCCCTCATCGAATCTTACCCGCTCAAGGTGGACAATGTTGCCGTCGCGGTAGTCTGTTCCATCCAGCAGCTGCAGCGCCAGCGTTACGCTCTCCACCCGCAGATACGTGCATTTTCCGTCCCCTTTCACGTTGCCGTTCTCATCGCGGTACAGCTGGATCTTCGGGGCACCTGCAGCGGCATGTGTGTGTGTGCAGCGTTGTGTTGTGCGTGTGTGTCTAGCTGATGAGTACGCGATCGGGCCCAAGACATGTATCATCATCATCATCATCATCATCATCATCATCATCATCATCATCATCATCATCATCATCATCATCATCATCATCATCATCACTGCTTGACGGTTGCGTGCCAACCTGACCTTCTTCGTCCTCTGCCATAACGCCGCACTTCTTCATAAACTCGTAGAACTCAACCTCGTCCGTGTCCTGTCAGCCGGCATGGCCAATACAGAGCACGCCACACAATGAGTCGACAAGCACATTCAGCAGCACCGTACGCAGTAGCATACATCACCACGAACACACGCATCTACACACAAGCACACTTTCACACGAACAGCCACACACACACACACACACACACACACACACACACACACACACACACACACACACACACACACAAACACACACACACGTACCAGAGGTAGGCCTGTGACGTAGACGTGTGGGTTCTTCTTGGGGTCTGGGATGAAGAACTCATCGCTGTCCCCCGCGTCATCTTGCTGCTGTGACGATGACGAGGATGACGATGACGATGTGTCTGCTGCTGCTGCTGCTGCTGCCGGTGCCCGTTTCACTGCGAGCTGAGGCGCCGTGGCTGTCATGGACGCCGACGACGCTGATTGCTGTGCAGAGGCTTGTGCTTGACGGGCTGCCAGCTGCTGTGCCTGAAGGATGGCCTGCTGCGCCAGCTCTGCGTTGCGTGCCATGCGCTCTGCCTGCCGCTTTCTCTGCCGCTCCTTCCTTGCCGCCTCATCCTCATCCGCATCTTCCTCGCCATTCTTCTCCCCCTGTGTGTCTGCTGCTGGTCCTTCCTTTCCTTCGCCTACGCTGCCCACAGCCTCCACCTTCTTTGTCGTCTCGTCCTCTCCTCCTTCCGCCTGCACCTTTGCCACCTTCCGTGGCTGCTCGCCACCCAGCCCAACATCCTCCTGCTCACTGCCGCTCATCTTGCGAGTCTTGGTCTGCTTTGTGTGTGTGCGTTCGCCTTGAAAGTCAATTCTGCCTTCACCAAGAAGTCATTTTTGCCTTTGGCCGTTTTTCTCACTACCAACCCAACAAAGTGAGTGGGGCGATGCTTGCTCTGCTGTGCTGTGCTGTGCTGTGCTGTTTTGTTTTGTGCTGTGCTGTGCGGGTGGTGGTGCTTACCCTGATCGCTGGCTTGTTCTCCTGCACAGACACACACCTTCGCCCCTCACCATAGTGTTGTTTCTTGCACAGGATCGCCGCGCCTCAGCACCCGTGCTGGTGAAACGCACACACAACCACACACACACTCACACACACACACACGCACGACCGGGATCATGGCGCAAGAGCCGCTTCCTGGCATCCACAGTGAGTGGTGAATGCGCGCCAACTGTGGTGCATGCGTGTGTGTGTGTGTGTGTGTGTGTGTGTGTGTGTGTGTGTGTGTGTGTGTGTGTGTGTGTGTGTGTCTGTCTGTGGTCACATGTTTGGTGGCTTTGTCACGAGCGATTGCGATGCGGTGGGCTGTGTAGATGGGGTGTGGGTGGGATGTGCCCTGCCTGGCCCTCCCTGGCCTTCTCTCTTGCCGTTTGAGCATATCGCTGACGCTGCCAATCACTTGCATCTGCTGTCGTTGCTAGTGGGTGCCATGTTCTTCCCTTACCGATACATCGCGCTGGTAAGTGCAACACACGGCTGAAACACCTGCACATGTGCTGATGATCTTGCATGTCACAATGCACACGATGCGCGATGCGCGAAGCGCGCGCACAATCACACACACACACATTCACACGCACACACGCACGCAAGCACACACTCACTCACAGCTCATGCATTTCACCTATTTTGTTTTTTTCCTGGTTGGTGTGATAACAGCTGTTGCTGATGGTGCAGACTACAAGCAGCATCCTGGTGCTGCGGTATTCGAGAACAGTCAACGGCGACGGGGGCCACTACATCTCCACGACCGCCGTCGTCATGTCAGAGTGCTTCAAGGTGTGCACACAAGTCCACACACACACAGCGCAATTGATACTGCTTGAGTACGAAGAAGAGTTTGCGACGTTGCGGTTGCCATTGCCATGCATCCATTTCGTTCACTGACACCATCATGTGCGTTGCCATGGGTGTTCTGCAGTTGGTGGGCTCGTTCTTCCTGTTGCAGCGGGAGACGGGTCTTGGGCTCGTGCAGACGTACCGCCACATGTATGGGGAGATTATGGGCAACTGGAAGGGCACGCTCAAGCTGTCGGTGCCCGCACTGCTCTACACCGTCCAGAACAACCTCCTCTTCATCGCCCTCAGCAACCTCTCCGCTGCCACATACCAGGTGCCGTCGTCTGTGTGCGTGTGTGTGTGTGTGTGTGTGTGTGTGTCTGTCTGTCTGCCTGCCTGTGTGTGTGTGTGTGTGTGTGTCTGTCTGTGTGTCTGTCTCTGTGCTGCACCTTGCTCTCCGTGTGCCTGCACTGCACTTTACATCGTACCTCCTCACGTCCCCCCTTCCATCGTAACTGCTGCCTGTACCAGGTGACATACCAGCTGAAGATCCTGACGACGGCTGTGTTCTCCGTGACGATGCTCTCCAAAGTCATTTCCTCCCGCCAGTGGATTTCGCTCGTTCTCCTCATGGCCGGCGTCGCCCTCGTCCAGGTCTCGTTATGGGCAGGTGGTAGGGGTTGGTGTGTGTGTGTGTGTGTGTGTGTGTGTGTGTGTGTGTGTGCATGTGCGTATGTGTGTGTGTGTGCGTGTGTGTGTGTGTGTGTGTGTGTGTGTGTGTGTGTGTGTGTGTGTGTGTGCGTGCGTGTGTGTGTGTGATGCCTGTGTGTCTGTGTGTGTGTCTGTCTGTCTGTCTGTCCGCCTCTCTGTCTGTCTGTCTGTCTGTCTGTCTGTCTCTGTGGATCATGGTTGTGTCTTTAACTCCTGCTGAAATGGAGAGAACAGCTCTACTCACGTCCCCCCCCCCCCAAACTCACGTCACCACCACCAGATGCCTGCTGACGACGGCAGCGGCGATGCGACTATGCCCGAGGACGCGAACAAGAACCAGTTTGTCGGCCTTGTTGCCGTGCTCTCCGCCTGCTGCTCCTCCGGTTTTGCCGGCGTCTACTTTGAGAAGATCCTCAAGGGCACAAAGTCGGTCGCGGGCGGTTGTGTGTGTGTGTGTGTGTGTGTGTGTGTGTGTGTGTGTGTGTGTGTGTGTGTGTGTGTGTGTGTGTGTGTGTGTGTGTGTGTGTGTGTG